ATTCCACGGTTGTCCCAGACTGGGCTGCTTAGCATGAAGGCTGGCGTTCCTCCAGGACCAGCTGCCTGGGGGACTACACCATCCCCTGCAGGGGTGCCTTCATCAGATAGGGAATCTGTTGAGAAACAGGGTGGGCAGTACACTGACAGGATCCCCCACCCATCCCACAGGCCCAGCATGAGGTACAAACACTCTGGACCAGCAGGCAGATGGACAGAGAGCCTGCAGAGATAAAGTGAATCCTTGCAGACCACACCTGCCCTTGACCCTACCTTGATGCTGAGCCAGGTTCCCCAGGGGGCAGAACTGGGAGAGACCAACGCCTCCCTGTTTGCCCTCCCAGGTCCTGGTTACACATGCCCGGACAGGTGCCTTAGGTCACGAATGGCAGCTTTTTCCCAGTGTTTAGCCAACTCAGAAGCAACCAGGCCAGGTCCCTGCATGCCTGCTCAGACAATGACTAGCACAACAGCACTCAAAATAACAGGCCCCTGTGTGTCGAGGCAGAAGCAAGCATCGTAAGCACGCTGACTCACAACAGGCCTCCCAAGCAAGCAGGACTGTTGCGCTCTGCCACATGCCCCAAGTACATCGCTTGCACACTCCAGAAGAGAAAAGCTCTTATCTCCTGTCAGCAGCTTAGTGAAGGTAAGATCCATTCCCAGGGAGAACAGAGAAAGGCCGTGTCTTTTCAAGCTGAGCCTAAACCACCTGTGAAAACACCGTGGGGAATTGGGCCGGAGGAGGAAGGCAACCCAAGGCTAAGAGGGGGAAGGGTTTTAAAAGGGGAAATGTCCACCATCAAAGTCTTCACGGGCTGTGCAGGAGAAACCTGGATTGGGTTCCCACAGCTCTGATCCATGAGTGAGACATTCTAGCAGGACTTGACTGGACTGATCCATGTAGCAGAACAATAATATGAAGGGTGTGGAAATCTTACACCAAACCTAACTGATGCCTGTACTTCCCTATATGCATCCCGCTGCCGCCAAGAGCATCCCCCAGAACCCATTGCCTAAAGCCAGGACCTAAGAAAGAAGCAAGCAACTTGTGGCCCTCCTGAAGTTTTGCCCTGTACTCCCATCAGCCCTAGCAGCACAGTCAATTTCAAGGGATGATGGGAGTTGTAAGCCAAAACATCTTTCCCACCCCATGGCTCTGTAGATGCTTGACCTGCAACTCTTATCCCATAACACCGGCTGTGCTGGCTAAGGCAGATTGGCCCGGAAGCCAAAATACCCATCTTTGCACGAAGGTAACCAACACCTGCATGGTTTATTAAGACTATATAAAGTGTTCTTTTAAAACTGCAGTGCTGACCTCGTTTTTCTCATTGGTCGCTGTGCAGTACCATTTTTAATGCCCGAGTTGTCTGTATTTATTCTCTTGTCTCGATGCGAGCCAGTTTGGCCTCCTTTTCTCTAGTCAAACCGCTAGCAGTCTGCAAACTATCTATGATAAGCTTGTAGCCTCTTGAGCATCTCCCTATTTGATACAGAATATAGTCTTCCGATGAAAGGGTTAAATCATTTCGACTACAGCCAGCAGATTTTTCTTAGTTCGTGCTTGGTGTGATATGTGACCGTGGAAAAGTTAGGGGAGATGAGAGGTTAAATCTGCCTTCCGCATTGTTGTCTCACCCTGCGAAAGACGCCGCTTACTTGAAACCCCGATTCTGCAGCCGTCTGAGAGCAGCGAAATGATTAAATGCTTTCTCGCGCGGTGCCCAACATTCGCGTGGCACCGTTGGAACTGGTGAGAGATTAGAGGCAAGCAGAAGTCAAAGGCAATCCGAGAGTGGAAACGATCATAAGCCCCATCTTGTCGTGGACCATGTGATGGCATTGTAGCTTAGGCAGCTAAAAATAGCTTGCTGTCCCTTTACTGACTGTGAGCGATCGATTGAAATAACCCACCACCTTCAGACCTGCACGGATCGTCCGCTGTTCCTCCGAGAATTCATGCTTCCCGTTGAGGTTTTCTAAAGGAATCTTAGCCCTGACGGTCCTACAGCTAGTATTTGGCCAGTGGGTGAATGAGTTGCGTTGAATAACTCACTTTGCAATGAGAGGAAGGGTAAATGATAGGATGCATACTAATATCAGGCAAGGGTTATTTGCTTGGGATGCTTTTCATAATGTGAGAACCATGCAGACCTTGGAGGGCAGATGGGATCTCTCAGCCGGGATCTCTCTCCCACCATAAAGGATCTGAATACTTGGAGTTTCCTAGACTCATTTCGGGTGTGATGAAGAGGCCTTAGAACGTGGTTTCCCGGGAGGAGCAGGTGTGTCTGATTAAGATTTGGGAGGGGTCAGGCTCATTTTTAATGTTTACCATTTTTAGTTGAGTTTTACAGTCTTTCAGCAAAAGCAAACCTGAGTAAAAAAACCCACTGAGATTGCAAAACAAGAGTAGAACCACAAACACATTGACAGAAAAAAGGAGAAAACAAAACAAATGAAATAAACTCACCTTCCATACACAATAACAATCTGATTGAGAACTTGGTGCATTAATTTCTGAAATGGCTCTTGTTCAGTGGCATCAGAGTGAAATTTATAGCTGATAACCTTGGATCTCATGAATTCACAACAGCTGTAAACTTAATCTTTAACCCTTTGTGGCATACGCTTGTGGCACCTACTTTAAAGTATCAAAGTCTGCATTATCAGCCTACAAAATCAGAGCAAACTTTGTTGGTATGTCAGAGGAAACTGGCTTCAGTTGTACTCTATGTGTGTTCCCTTTTTCAGTTTGTATTTTTGAACGCCTAGTCTTTGTTATATTTGGCATGCACAATAAATGTTTATACTTCCTTTTTCTACTGTGTTTGCATCTTGCTTTCTGTGTACAACCTGGTGTTTGCTATATGTGGATAGACGTAGGAATGGAATATTCAGTTAGAAAGGGGAAATAAGAAGTGTATTTTTGATTAATTGTATGATTCGGATGCCGAGTTTAGAAAATTACTCATACCACTAGATTTTAATTTGTACTGTTATTTCTGTATCAACTTTTATACTGCATGACTTTTACCCATTCCAGAAAGAAGTTCAGGTTTCTTCCTGGGTAGAAAACAAATGTCCTTCCAGATCAATGAAGCATTAGCACATTTATATTGCATTTGGGGTTAGGATAGAATTAGATAAAATTACATATTATGATACTATTGGTTATATAGACTTGGTTACAAGCTCGCTGATGATTATTGGAGGAGAACAAAGTAAAAATAAAGTATCTTGATGTTTACTTCTGTTAAAATGGTAACAAATATATATGCACTAAACACTACAAAACTGTGAATGCTTTGGGTATTGAGGAATTTATCAGGAGACTAAAATTTTAATCTTGTTCAGTTTAATTTGAGGGTTGTTCTGTTGCTTCAGTTTGCTCATTGGGTGTCTCTCTTGATTGTGATTTTACAGTAACTTTACCAAAAGCTCCAGTGAATGTACCACTATAAATGAGCTGCGTGAGTGTCATTAGTAATGTAACGTGGATTGGAATTACCCTTAGTCGTCGTGATTGCCACCACTAACGAAAACAGCAGTTAAATTAGCAAATCAGTGTGGTTAAGTCTGTTTTGATTGAGGGCAACAACCCGTCACGCTACGTCAGAAGTCTTCTGACTTTGAAATCGCTTAGTGCCCGCATGAAAGGATGGGGAGATGGCTGCAAACCGCATAATTTCCCTGTTTGGCAGCTGCATCGTGTGTTGAAACCTTGGGCAGTGGTGCTGTCCGTCCAGAACATTGGAGTCTGTGGCCTGGTTTCCCCCATACAGGCTGGTCGTGAGACGACATGGACAAATTTAGCCGCACTGGTTTTCGCTACCTCTTTTGGCCTGCCTGCATGCACCAGGTGCTGAGGAGCGTGGCCAGGTGGAGGCCCTGCGCTCATCCTGCTTGGGGGATCCAGTGCGTGGCTGGTTTGCCACTGTATGTACTGAGTGCCGGACTGGATGGACCTTGATCCAGCTGGGTCTTTTTATGCTCAGTGTCTCCAATCTGTGCTCTTTCCAGTTGTCCTCACCACGACTGCAAATGCAAGTTGGGAGATGCCCATTGATGGAAGGACCTTGCTGACTTTCTGTCTTTGTTTCTGTCTCAAAAAATGTAATTCTTTGTCATGCTTATAATTGGTCAAATATTCCATCAACTGTAGTAAAATTATTTTTTCCTCCTGTGAGAAACAATTTTACCCAAGACTGCCCCAGAGTATGGTTTAGAGAGGTCAGTGACTGTGTGACTCCTTAAAATGAAGAAGATCCACACACAGTTTAGTGGGACTGTGATAATCAGGATTGAGTGGACGGGCAGCAATAGATATTTTAAGTCTCTCATATATTTAAAGGAAAGCAGCCTTACTATCATTAGAAATGCATCTTATGCATTGTTGCAGTAAAGATATAATACCCTTGTAATGCAAGGGTTCAAAAGTTTAAGAATCAGTCCTGCAAAACAACCTCAGATTCAGCATCTGCAGAAGCTTCTTCCTTTCCCTGTTATTATTTTCCTCTAAAACCTCTCCTAGACCTTCTCAGTGATGAGAAACAAGAAGAGGGAATTTCCCATAATGTTTCCTGCTTGTTTTTGTAATTCATGCCTAGGAAGCTGCTGTATATGTGTTTGGCTGTGTATTTCATGTCCAGCGCTAATCTGTCAGCAGTTTTTCTTGCTAAGCACACTGTATTACAACAGAGTTTATTTGACCAGTACTGGGAATCCTTCAAAAATTATAAATATTTTCTTGATGCCTTGTCATTTAATGATTTCCTTGACTTTTTAAGAAGCATGGAACAATCATTTTAAGAACCCTAAACATTAATGTCTACAATTCCTGTGGTTAATACCTTCACTAATAGTTTATTTTGGGGATGTGTGTCCATGGTTTTAAGTGTTCATCAGTAAAAACTAACCATCTTTGCAAACTTTGCTTGGCTCGTTGTCATCTTACAGTCCAGCGTAAAAAGGACCAAATTCCTTGGATTTTTGCAGATTGCCTTCATGACGCTGACACTGTTCCCCATCCGGCTGTTCTTTGCGGCCTTCATGATGTTGCTGGCCTGGCCCTTTGCCTTCATTGCATCCATGGGACCCGCGGAGAAAGTGCTGGAAAAGCCCCTCCCCTGGTGGCGAAAGTAAGTCTCCCTGCCCTTCGGTTTGCTCACATCTCCCTGGAGCATTTTCCTTGCAATGCTATTGGCGTGCCTTACTGACTTAAAACACTTATTTCCCCCTGAAGTTGTGGACTCCTCTACGTGAATGCTTCACTGAGGCTGCTTCTGTTTCCGTTGGGGGAGGAAAAATGGTCCTTTGGGTACTGAGGTCAATGGGACACACACCCAAGTAAACAGGAAACAATTCAAAATCTCGGCTATTCAAAGCCTACATTCCCTTCCATAGCATCCCTGCATTGCAATTTGATGTTTTAGTCTTATTTTTATGTCCTAATGTTGAAATGTATTTTAGATGCACATCTTTGTCTCTTTAACAGCCATAACATATGTTAACATGCAAAAACCTGTTAAAACTTGCTGCTCGCATCGAATCGCTGTTTTGCAAGAGGTCCTTTTTCAGCAGAGGAGTAACAGAGAGAGGATGCCGGGTTTTTGCCTCCGCATTTTGACCCTGCTACGGTTTGCTCACCCTGTCCATGTGGTTCCAGACACATACTTGAAAGAATAAACATTTTTGGCCACTGCCCACGCAGCCCCGAGGATTTAAAAATGTGTTTTCATGTATTGTGGGATGCCACATGAAGACTTTACTTCTCCTCCTCAATTTGTCTTTGGTGCAGCGTGTGGCCTAAACCTTGTTGACGGTGTGTCTGCTTAAATTAACTGCTTCACTGCTTTATCTGATGCCCAAAGACGAGCTGCCGGAAGTATTTACTACAAGACCTTGGGGGTACTGCTTCTTCTGGAAGATTTCCCGTGTGTTATCTCTGCATGCTGAGCTGTACTGTCCTAATCCCAAGATTAACTCAGGGTACATCTGCTTGGGTGGAAACACAAGCGAGTCACTGAACAATGTCATCTTTTCCCATCCACAAATAGTCATCCAAGCCGTGACACACGAAATAGGGTTCTCCTGTCTGTAAGGGGTGCGTTGGCAGACTTGGAGAAGTACCTTACAAAGGCGGAATTGTTTAAAGGCCTAGTCCTGTATCCGGCGGACAAGGTACATATTTGGAGAAACAAACCCCCGTAGATCTTCTCAGCCTTTGAGAGTGAGCGTCTTGAGCTCTGGCTCAGTGCTTGTGAGTGGGCATATTAGTTCTCGGGCACTTGGTTCCCTTTTCACCTAACCAAAGGCTTGCTTTGAGAGTCAGAGGAACTGGGCAGCATTACTTCTACCGGTTACAAATAAGCTAACCAACAACCCCAACTGAATACCAAATACTAAAACTAGAAGAGATGTCTCTACAATGTATGGATTGCAGGAAGGCGAATGCTGTGGGGGTTCAGGATCAACGTCTCGGGACAAATGTTTACTTTGGAAACTTCCAACTTCAAATAGCTCTTTCAGTATACAAAGTGATATGAGGGCATTGGAGGAGAGGTGCCTTCAATCGTATCGATCATAAATGGTTCTGACTTGGTAGATATTTTAAACAATATCGGATAGATATATTTTTTAAAAAGCTGTCTTGTTTTCCTAATTGGCATGCATTCATCTTAGGATATTTGCACAACTGGGGACAGGCAATTAATAATGGTCTAACATGACACAAAATAGGTGCAAAGATGTATCCCCCACCTAAATTACACCAGCTAAGAGAAGAAGCGGTGAAGCGCAAAGTCCCCAGGTTGAATTACAGGTCTACCAAGAATTAACTTGGTCACCTGGAGCAGGTGGATCTCTTGTCCGCAGCCCTATGGTATACTGCAAGAATCCTTCTTCCCTTCCTTCCAGGGTTGTTCTAAGATAATGTGAAGCACTTGACTCTGAGCACTTAAAGCATTACACGGATGAAAATGAAGAAGAGGATCGCAGCCAGAAAATCCATAACAGTTCCTGGCTTCATGTATGCCGTTAGATCATGGCATGCCTTATTTTGCCTCAATGGCCACAGGCCTGGTTGCTGGGGTGCAGAGAAATTGTTTGCGTCATGAATGGGACGTGCAAGGCATTTTGGTCCTGGTATTTTTGCCTCCACTGGGCTCCATCTTGGATAGCACTGAAAGAGACAACCAGGACTAGGGGTGTGAAGGTTGTGGAGGCTGCAGATAATTTCTGGCTGCAAGTCTGGGCATACTTCCTGGGGAGTAAGGCCCACTCAATTCAGTGGGTATTACTCCTGGCATCCTGCACTGAGCAGGGGGTTGGGCCTTCTGGCCTCTTCCAGCTCTACTGCTCTATGATTCTGTGACATCTGCTGTTGGTTGTCCGCCCAGTTGCCTGCTCATGCTGCCTCTTCTCATTGGTCCACACACTGAGGCTTGGTGGCTAGAATGGCTCTCGCAGTTGCCACGCTTTCCTGGTGACTCTGCGGCAGTTGCATACCCCAGCCGTAGAAACCATGATCCCAGTTCAGACAACATGATGCCAGGATGGTTTAGATGAACCCTAGAGCAAACCTTGGCTTCTTATCATGGTTTCTAGAGTCCAGACTTACCCTCGTGAATTATCACAGTTAGGTTTGGACAACACATCAGACCGACAATGGATTAACAAACCATCATGGCTTGAAGCGATGTCTGAACCTAGCATTTTGTCTGTATGCACTGATCCTGATTGCTGGGTTGGTTGGGGAAGATGTGGGATGCAAGATAATGCCCGCCTACGGCAAAATTGTCCTGCCAAGAGTACTCTCTACGGATGCTAAAATGGATTCCTACTTTCCCTTTAACCAGGAAGCTGTCCATGTGCTTCATGTGTTATTCCGAAGGGACAACTGGGCGCTTATCTCTCCGTCTGTGATATCCAATTGTTTTCAGGGTCATCAACGTCTTGCTGAAGGCAATCATGAGAATAATGTGGCTCGCTGGTGGGTTCCACTGGATAAACGTCAAGGGCAAGCAGGCGTTGCCCACCGAAGCCGCGATTTTGACTCTGGCGCCACATTCCTCCTACTTCGACGCCATACCGGTAACCATGACCATGGCTTCCATCGTGATGAAAGCAGAAAGCAAAGATATTCCTATCTGGGGAAGTAAGTCCGAGAAATCTTTGCCTTCCAACTAATAGTCACAGTGATTGCGTTTGCTTTGGGAAGACCATTCTGGACACACTAGCAACTGAGCTAGCTTTGCAGAGATAAACTTTGATTGCACGCAGCAGGATTAAAATATATTTTTGGAAGCTTGCTGGAGAACAAAGGATGGTTGTTGCTTTTGCAGGTTTTGGTGCTGCACAGGGGTCACTGAGTGGAATCTCGTAGGCTAAATGAGCCCCCATGGGAATTGTCAGCCAGTTGCCTGCCCAAATGTAAGATGGACCTGTAAAGAAATGATGAAACTCATTAGCTTTGATGGAGCTGCAAGAAACGTGAAGGCCCTCAAAAAGCTGATTTTTCCATTCCCCCCCACCCCCGGGTGCTTTTTTGTTTTCCAAAAAATTGGAAAATCGAAGAGAAAAAAATGAAACATTTTCTTACGTAATTATGAATAAAATATTTAAGCCTGGTGTTTGTATAAGACTGTCAGGCCTTTACTTTCCCCAAATTACTATTTCTGGACATCTTGAAGCCATGGGGTGAAATCATTTTTAATCCTTTCTGTAAGATCCCCAGCATAGTTCTCTGTTCCATTTCTTATTAAAATTAGTGATCTAATGTATCTTTTACCAATAAACATTTAGAGGTTCCCCAAGGCATATTCAGGCATCAAGAAAATGTGCGTTCTGGACACCTCGGTTTTGTTCTATTGAGTGGATTCATGCGACATCACAGCCTCCCAATTGGATATTGGATTGGACTGGAAGCAATTCTGCAGGATGTCTTATTTTTCTTGAGCAAGCCACCCGGAAAACCCATGGCTGTAGTGTCATCCAAACCCAGGAGAGCAATTTCGGCCAGGGCTGGCTTGAAGGCTGCTTCCAAGAACCCCAAAAACCGCTGTTGCTTCTAGCAACCTTGACATGCAGTTGCCTGCGACTGCCCTCCCACCAATGCCAAAACATAAGTTAATGACATTTGTTTTAGGTTTATGCACTGGGAAATTGCTCAGACGCCTTTGCAAAATGTTTTATTTATTTGTATTTAGTCTTTTTTATAATATGATCTTACATCCTTCTATCTTCCACTTGAAGGAGGGAGCACTGAATAGTAGCATAAGGAACACAGAGTGGAACTGGCAAGGCAAAATTGCATGTAGGATCATTTGTGCACGGTTGGCAAAGACAAAGGGGGAAGTAATACTGAAGGAGAGGAGAAATCTGTTTGTGCCAGAGAAAAGCACCATAACCGGCAGAAACACGAAGCAGGTGCACCGAAAGGTCAGGGAGTCAATATCTCATGCTTAGCAAAGTACCTCTTTTTTAAAACTGGCAGGAAAATTTGCAGGAGTGTTTTGGACTGGAAATAGATACCAATTTAATGGCTAGGAGGCACTGGAAAGAGCTTAAAGGGCCCTATAAGCACTTCCCAGGACAGATCGCAGCAGATCGGTGCAACTCTTCTTGGCCGCGATTGATGGCGGAGGAGACAATCCATGTTCTCCTCAGCCGCCTCAGGGGAGGGCCAGGAGCATGTGCCACAGGTGGTTGCCCTGGTGGGTGGGGGAACGCAGCCCATTCACTTGCCGCAACAGGGACCCCTCCCTTTCATGAGCAGACGGCTCTTAGGGGACTCCGGAGCCATCACGCACAGCACCCTTCAGAGCAGAACCTGAGGGACAGCTTGTGCCAGTGTGGAGGCCAACACCAGCCACCCATGAATTGCTCTCTGGGTTGTGCTGGTGGGCCTGGTGGCTTGCTTTCTGCGAGGCCTGTCTCTCCCCACCACAGGTTGTCTCAAGCGGGACTGGATGCCACAGCAAGCCCGGGAGTGGGTTGCGCAAGCCCCACAACAAACCGTGGCTGGTCAGAGTGCTTTACGTATGAGGCCAACTTAAGCTGGCTGGCAAGAGCATCCCAGCATGCTAAGCCATACAACAAGATGCAACATGCAACAAGATCAACCTGCTAAGCCGCCGGTGGCTTCATGAGTTGTGCAAACAAATTCTGAGTGTTCTGAGAAGGAGGTGAAGTTAATAACTGGGGGTTTTTTTGGAGTAGTTGGAGGGTCAAGGAAGCCGTGAGAACTATCCATCCAGCGCTTAAAACCAGAAGATCAGATGCCACGGGGAAGATATTGTTCCCTTCTGTTTTGGGTGTACTCGCTCCTTTGGCTTCAATGCTGTCCTACCCACAGCCAGGGCTTCTGAACTGTGCCGATTCCCTCCCTCTACCGTTATCTCCACCAGGGCCCTTCACAACTCTGCACAAATCAGCAAGCAGGCAGCCCTGTCTTGCCAGTTACCCTGCAGGTGGTCTGCTCCACTTGGGTGAAGTCTTTGGTAGTGGAAACATACACGAACATTGATGAAGACACGCATCACCGCCACCACTGCCAGCCGAGCTGTTCTGGAGCTCTGAAAGATTGCAAAACGGGGGGAATGAAAAGAGGCCAAGGTTGGGTGGGGAAGCGACTGAGGGGAGGAGATGAAATGGATTCTGCCGCAAAGTCCACTGCGATGGGGGACTGAAGGGGAAGGGGGGGCCTACAACCCATGGCAGTAGCTTGCTTGCAGGGGTGAGCTGGCATTAAATGCAAACTTTCCCAGGGAGTTCCATGTTTCTGGGCTTGTTCTGGTATGCAGGTGTAAAGGCAGTGTGAAGCAGTGGTTAAGAGTGCAGGAATGGGGCTCAGTTAATCCAGGTTCTAGTCCCCGCTCGGCCATGGAGTCAACTGGGTGACTTTGGGCCTGTCACAGACTCTCAGCCCAGCCTCCCTCACAGGGTTGTTATTGTGAGGGTAAGATGGAGAGCAGGAGGAGGAGAATGATGAAAGCCATCTTGAATTCCTCCAAAGGAAAAAAAAAATGTGGGATAATAGGTAGGTAGGTAGGTAGGTAGGTAGAGAGTAAGGTTTAGGTATATGGAACTCACTGCGATAGCTTTGCATTAAGTTACTGAGTTGATTCCATGGGTAGGGGCTTCCAACCAGCTCCCACTGCCATAGATACCTATGCAGTGGGAGTTCGTTAATAAAATAGTTTTAAAATATTTGGCAAAGATTTGCCATCAGTGGAGAAAAGAGACAGACTCGAGGTCCTTGAATGAGAGTTGCCTTTACATCTGGCCACCCGCTGCAATGAAGGTGTAGGATACAGTGGCCAGATACAGCTGGGGTCATAATGATTAGGTGATGAAGAAGAAGATTAGAGTTCAAGTGACTTTAAAAAACAGAAGTGGTTGGTATTGTTCAACATACCGTCTGCAAGTAGCTCTGATCAACCTGCCCTCCATTTTCCCCAAGTCATATTTTCTCCTTTGTTGTGTGAGTAGTACGATACCCGTCAAGGTTTTATGGTACTCTAAGTAAGAGCTTAGTAAAATGCTCTAGCAGATGTTTCATTTCCATATAGTTTAAAACCGTGTAGTTTTAGAACAACTGTATTATATGCAGCATCTCGGATGAATCTGGGGAGATTAAGAGCATTCAGAAATGAGTGAGTTTCACATGCGCACTTTCTGGCAGAGTTTTCCTAGCAATGCCACCTTTGAAGGACCAACGAAAATAACTCCAAGTGGCCATGGCGGTGGTAAAGGTTCCTTGGGAGGGTGCCTTAGATGGATACCAGCTTCCCCTATGAGGAACGTGTTCTTAATAACCTAATCCAGAAGAGCTGTACTCTGGTTATAAACACAATATAAACATACTGTTGCACTCCTGGTTTGCTGAAGCAGAACAATAAAATTGCTTCGCATAGATGGCATTCTTTATAGAGCTACAGGTGGTATTGAAATGAAATAAATCATAATAATTTGAGACCCTTTCCTTATATGGAGAATATCTCATATTCTGAAACAGTAATAAGATTCTTTTATAGTAGTACAGTGCTAAATTTGTCTCTCACACTATACCAAACGAATAATCCATTGTCTCAGTGACTGGAAGCGTCAAACAGCATAAGCAAGACAATGACAGAAAAAGGGAAGGAAAACTTTCAGTTGAAGTGTCCACCTAATCAATAAACATTAGGGCTTTATTTTATATTATTATTACATTACATTTATACTCTGTTTTTCTTCTTGTAAGGAAAGATGCTTTTCTTGGAATTTTAATTTTTGTTATTGTGTTCATTGCTGGTTGCTTTGTCCCCACCATGTTGCATCTTCTGAAATGTTTTCCAGGAAGAGATGCTAAACTGAACAATAATAACAGGATGTTCTTCATGTTTCTTTCCAGCTCTAATCAAATACATTCGACCCGTGTTTGTATCTCGATCAGATCAGGATTCCCGGAGAAAAACGGTTGAGGAGATCAAACGACGTGCTCAGTCCAAGGGCAAATGGCCACAGGTATTCGTAGCATCTTGCAAAAGCTGAAGGTCTTTGCTGCCTCTGTTTTCCTCCCAGGAGATGCCGTTTCTGCTAAGAAACAGTCTCGGCTGTTTCGGCTCTCTCTCGCATCATACAATTATGTCCGTCTTGAACTTAGGGTCAGTTAGTTCCATTTTCCTCTAGGATTATGAGAGATGAAGGGGAAGGACTCTATTCGACCAGCCATTTAAAATTTCTGTGAAGCTTTGTGATGTCTCTCCAAGTCATCTGTCCTTTTCCCCCTAAATTTAAAAGCCTCACTGTAGCATTTTCTCACAGGAATAGTGACATTCCTCCAGATAATTTTGTTACCCTTTCTTCATCCTTTTCCAGTGTTATGATAGTAACACTGGAAGAGATCAGACAACCAGAACCGCACATAGTATTGGAACGTGTTCATGCCTGGCATTTTGAATTCCAGTCCTTCCCATCCGGTTGTCCCATTGCTTGGAGTTGTTTCTACATATGCAGCAGATGCACATTTTTCCTCCTGCAGTCCCATCTTCCTCTCCTCTGCACCTCTTCCAAGTGCAAGAAGTAGAACCAGTTTTCATTCTCTCCTTCCTCTCCAGAACTGCCATATATCTTCATGTAAAATGCATGAGAAAAACCACTGCCTTGGTTTAAGGCAGGAGGGCAAGCGGAATCTTTTCCTGTGTTGACTCATGGAAAAGCCCAGTAGAGGGTGGAAATGAAAGCAAAAATGGGTGGTGTTTGCAGGATTGCTGAGCTTGGCCCGTGTTCTTTAAAGGCACCCCAGCTTTAAAGAATAAGAGCACTACTTCAGGTATTTATAGTATCTTCAACTATGTGGAGTAGTCATGGCAAGTCTAGTGTATAACAGAGAACTTTAGGAGAAATGCAAGCCTTACTCCAAAAGACGTGGTATTTCCAATGGATAATTTAAAAGGATGGAAACATAGAGGTTACTCCAAGAGCCCACCGACTTTTTAAAGGGGGACAAACGCATCCTTATCCTGAGTATGGAGAAGACTCGATCGGAGTTTGCCGCTCTAACGATGCTTTGGAGCCGCATTCCGCACATTCTTGGGCAAATCACTTTCTGCCTAAAGAATGTTTCTGGGAGTGACCTGGTGGACGTTTCGAAACTGCCAGAGCTATTTTGTGACATGTTAAGGTTAAGTGAATTGGAAGGCTTTAAATCCTGACTTGGAAACTTACTCCATTAAAAGATGAGCAGGATGGTATAGCAATAATTTGTAACAGATTCTTCATTTCTGCTTCTTTTTTAAGATAATGATATTCCCAGAAGGAACCTGCACTAATCGATCCTGTCTAATTACCTTCAAGCCTGGTAGGGACCCTTTTTTCCCTATGCGACGTCCGTGTTAACTCCAGATGTTGAAATGTGTAATTTATTCTTGTTCTTGCCCAGGACTCATTCAGTTGTCACAGCAAATGCATGGCCCTTTGTTTCCATACCAAGTTGGCTCTGCCTTTTCTGTAACACTTGTATGTTTGGAATATTAAAGAGAAATACCCCCATGAACTGTAATTAACTGCATCTCCCTGGCAACTTTCTGAAAACTAGAGTTTTCAGGCATTTCAGTTTCCTTAAAGCATTGCATAAAGACATAACCAGCCTGCAAGAAAAACGCAGAGGCTATCTTGCAATAAAGGGAATGGCTTTTGAGTTTACTTACCACCTTGTTCTAAAATAAGAACAGTGAAAACATTGTGGCATTTAATTTTTTGTTTTTGTTTTTGCTTGGTTCTTTGTTTTTGTTGACCTTCTTGTGAATCTTGTAATCTAAAGCACCATAGAAATGACAATTTATGGCCTAGAAAGCAAGGCCCTTGATGGTAATACTCTGTTACCTGGGAAAAGCAAAAAGGTGTTTCTGTCTAGCAATACTTAGATGCCCATCTAGTTCAGGAGAAAATTGCTGAAAAGGGGCATTTGGTCGTTCCATTATTCTCTCCATTTTGAGTTCAGTCCTTATGCTTGCTGTTTTCAGCCAAAGGGAGGGCATTTTTGTAATATATTCTAACCTAAAATATTTAAACTTAAAACCTAAGTAAAGCAACCGAGCCTTTTCTTGGGATTAATGGTCTTAGCTCAGTTCTCTGACTGATTCCTATGGAATCCTAAAAATGTTTCCAAGTACATTCAAGACATATTTACCAAGACATTCCTTCTGAAAAGGGATTGTGAGGTTCTTGTGGTTCGCACACTCCTATTGGGTGGGAGAAAGGAAGTATTAAGCACAAGAAAGAAGCATGCAGTTGTGCTGGTTGACTGCCAATTTAATGTTCAGACGCTTCACTGGATTGCATTCACTGTGGTGGACCCCACGTCTAAGTCCATTAGAAACAGTTGACGGAGATTGTGCAGTTTGCAAAAGTTAGAAAAGTAAGCAACTTATTCTGCTACTTATGCTTCTTTGAATCGTACAGGGCAAATGGTAGGGGATCAGGTCCATATTCTTTACAGTGGTTTGCTAAAGTCTACAAAGGTTAGTCCGTATATTAAGTAATCCACACGTCAGTGTTGAGACATTGTTGATACTTTCTGATGCACTTCTGATGGAAACAAGAAGTGCGAGGTTGCTACTTCTAACAAACAAACTGTGCTTGTTCTGATATCACTTGGTATGAAATCTTGAGTTGGGTTGCACTATCCCTTTAGAATCTGTGCCCCAATGTGACATTTTCCCTATACTGTCATAGTAATGTCATTGAGTCATTGAGTTCTAGATCCAAATAATTTAATGTGGGTGGCATCCCAGGTACACCCATGAGAGGTGAGACACTGCCCATGAGAACGGTGAATATGGATCTGTGCACCATGATTTGAATAAGTAATTCATGTGCAGAATATTCTGTGTCCAAGTAATTCTCTTTTTACTGGCATTAACGTGTTTATTAGCACAGCCTTTTGTGGCATGGAGCCTCTGGGACAAATTCCTAGAAGAACTTGCTACAGATTGTCCAAATAGCTAGTCAGTTTTTTCGAGGGTGATAGGTGTATGCCCACCAGTGAGACTGTATTCCAGAGCCCTTCCCCAAATAGCCAGTTTCTGTTAGTTTCATGTTAAGATATGGAGAAAAACACCCTTTGGTCTCCCCAGTGAAAGACGGCTGGACTTCTTTCTCAGTTCAGCAAGTTTTATTAATCCTCAGGTGAAAACATGGGTGTTCTCCATAGCTGAGGGAGATGAGGATGCCTGGAAGGCTGCTGTTTGGGTTTAAACAAACTCCAAAAGCCACTTTCACTAGGATCTCAGCAAATGGTTTGGCATAGTTAGGGAAGTTTAATATTTGAGCCTGGAAAAGCTGGAGAATGGAATTGCTGATTCCCTAGGGAAGGGCCATGAGGAGCCATCCAAAAGCTGTGGGTATTGGTGAAAGTCTGTGAAGGGAAAGAACTGGCTGTGCATGGAAAGACATTGTTTTGCTCCTCTGCACAGCCCTGAATGAAACTGCAAACACAGGCAACCAGAAATAACATGGACAGTTTTGTTGCCTCCAGTTAAAGATCCGGCTGCAGCCACAGTCTTTTTCAAAAATGCACATTTGCTCTGCTCTAGTGGTATTAGCTATGACAATGTAGATCGCTTTCACGTGTCTTGTTTCATAAAGAGAGAGAGAGAGAGAGAGAGAGAGAGAGGGAGAGGTGACAAGGCTGGGTGTTCCTATTGGGAAAAAGCGAGGTTGCCTCCTGCAGGGAAGGCAGACAAGCTTTGTGATGGGACTGCTCCCCGTTTCTGCTCTGCGGATCGATCAGAGCACCCAGGATGTGACTGGCAGGAATTCATTCTGGCTGTGTAGGTATGTAGAACAGCCGGCTGTCCATTGCCCTGGCCAAGTACCACTTCTTCCTGAGTCATTAATGCAGAACAAAAAAAGATCCGAGAATTAAAATCGCCTCAGTGAAATGAGTCAGGTCAGTGCTTCTGATAAAGACAGAGGGTGTTTTCCAGGAAGAACTCAAAACTGGCTTCAGTGAGTCATAAGGGCATCTCCCGTTTAATTAGCACCCGCTAAAAGTTGCAAGACAGAAGTAGGTACAGTGTTTGGATTCATCCATATGAATAGGGCAGAGTCTGGTCCAAGGAGCAGATGTCTGCAACTGGAGCACCCGGACCAGGGGTGAGGGAAGTGAGTGGGGATCTTTGCATGATGCCGGAGGGTCAAGGCCAGGGTGACGGCAGGAACAAGCGAGGGTCAGATACTGCCAAGGTTCTGCAGGCCAGAAATAAAAACAGATTCGGGAGCAAGTGAGGGTCAGGTATCCAGCCAGGCCTGGCAGGACCAAGCAGGTCTCCCATTTGGCCATGGCAGATCCAAACAGAAGGCAAAATCAGCAGTAGGCAAGCATTGGGTACCAAGAAGGTATGGCAGAGCCTGTGGCAAGGTCAGGAGCAGGCTAGAGTCAAGGCATGGTGGAGGGGAAGGAAAGACCAGAAGCAGGGCCGGAGAATACCGGGCCGTTCCTGCGAAGGCCCACGTTCGAGCAGCTGCTGGAGGCCTCGGGTGGAGCTTTCCAGTGCTTCCAGCCAAGCTGTACAATTGCCTAGGCTCCATCCTACCCACGGGTCTGAAGCCGGTCCTGCAGGCATTGGCAGGATGTGCTGTGCCGCCCTTGGCCGTCACACCTCCAGGGGGCGCTGCCTCAAGGCTCAGACCCTGACAGGTAGAATCATAGAAAAGTAGAGCTAGAAAGGGCTAAGAGGGACAGTGGGTCCAAACTCTGCCCAGTACATTAAAACATGGTGTCTTTCTATTAAGCTGTCTACATTTCTGCAAGCCTATACATTTTTAAGGTTATATTTGTACCTATACTGGTGACTGGTGCATGAAGTTAGGAACATACCAACTGGAAATATTAACGGTTGCATTCTGCAAATTAATGGGCAAAATTTTGATGGTTCAGACGTAGTAATACCTGGAGCAAACCCACTGGAGTCCATGGAAATTGTTAGCCTTTACTAACATATCCCTTTCATTCGGTTGGGTCTATTTTGAGCCTGAATATATCTGGATCCAGTCCATGGTCTTTAAAGGCATAATAGAGTGTAATTAGACAGTAGTGTAATTATACATATCTCGTAGGAGCTTTTATCCCCGGAGTGCCTGTCCAGCCGGTGATTTTACGATACCCAAACAAACTGGTAAGTTCTAAGTATGCTTTGACTGCTAAAAATGGTGTATGCTGATAGAAATCTACAGAAGTCTGATAATATATTGTCAAATTTACTTTGTGGAAAGTGGAACAGCAATAAATTGCACAGTGACATTGGCAAGTGTTGCCCTCTTGCCTTTTCTTGAATGTAAGTATTAGTTGTAAGAGAAATGGGTTGGCTCATTGGGTCCTCAGAGCAGAGGGTATGAATTATCTTCCTCAAAGTATTAAAACTTATTTGTCTTTATGCATGTTACTTTTTATTTCCTATATCCCTGGTGTGTAAATAATAATCCAGGGCTCCTCCTATGCTAGCTAGAAAAATATAAATGTAAATATGCACAGCTGATTTTTTAGCACAGCTAGGTGCCAAAATGCAGGATATGAGATTTACCTCCTAATTGAAAAGCGACAGTCCAGTAGTGCATTTTGGAGACATTTTGAAACAGCTTGGGAAAGGGAGCAAAGGATTTTTTTTTTTTTTATTAAAACATTTTTATGCTGCCCCATTCGCCAAAGCTTCGGGGCGGCTTACAACAATAAATTAAAATAATTATAATCTTAAATTAAAAAATGTAAGCATTAAATTAAAAATACAAAAATACAATATAAAATAAGCCACCCTGGCCAGATAAAATCCAATAATATTAACAGTTAATGGATTTCCATTAGCAGTTGGCAGGTGCATCTATTCTTGCAGCATGCAAGCTTTATTTACTCACATCTCATTATGGGAACAACCTTCCTTCCCCTGAGAGAGCCCATGTGAAATTTATAGTTCCTTGCCTGCAGTGCTGCATCTCTGGCACTAGGGGGAGCCCATCATTCCCTTGCCACTGTTGCAAGCTAGAGAAATTTCTAACTAAATTCCGGAATCTCCAGTGAGCATCGAACTTTTGCTTAACCCTTTTCATCATTATGATGTGTATATTGACAATATACATATCCCAGTGGTCCCAAAAGGAAACAATCCCCTGTCAATTTAATGTTTTTCAAAGCAATGCCATTTTTGTGAAGTTGATTAGTATACTGAGAAAACTGCAGCCAGAAAGTCTTACTTTTTAATGTCTCTCTTTTCTACATAGGATACAATTACGTGGACTTGGCAAGGACCAGGAGCGTAAGTCATCCACTTACTATTCAAATAAAATATTGCTCTGTTTTGTTTCATCATAGTTTAAACTATGCTCAAAATACATATTCACACCGATGGCTGATTTCGTTTTAAAGGTAATAGTATTTTCAAGGACCAGTCTGCAAAATTATGCCATAAAATGGCAAACAATTCTCTTTCTTCTTGCCTTGTTATTTTTCTAATTGGCAAGGTCTGTCGCCTACTTTACATGGAATATCTTTAAAAATAAAACACCATTGTTCGTCAATGTTTGTTGTCGAATCACTAATACTGCATGTTCGGGTAAATTAAAAATGTTTTTCTTCCTTTTTCCCCCCTCAGGTTGAAAATTCTGTGGCTTACTTTATGTCAGTTCCATAATTATGTGGAAATTGAGGTTAGTATAAAATTAGCACTGTTTTACTCTGAAAGGAGTACTTAGTGGAATCCACTGAAAGAACCCCCTGCTGTTTCATAGTAGCTCATCTCAGTTTTAAATACTGTTCAACAGTGGAATAGGGAAGTACAAAAGAAGCCTAGATCTGAAGTGCAGGAGAAGAGCGCGAGGGTGTTGGTGCTTCTTCACAGTACGGACACTGGTAGGCAGGAAGAGCTAACAGGACTGTCTTCTGCTCATTGTCAAGAGAATAAAATGAATTTCCCTCTCCAGCGTGCCCAGGCCATTCTCTCCTCATCGGCGTTCATGCCAGTCATTGACAGATGATGACACAAGTCATCTGAGATAAGCTTCTAGGACATCTGTGCAACCATGTTTCACATCTGCAATGCTCTTTTATAGAAGGGAGCGATATTTTTCAGTAAGGCTTGCTGTGGTTATTGTTCAGGGCCATCAAGTCATCTCCAGCTTATGGTGACCCGTGAATGAAAGCCCTCCAAGGTGTCTGTCCTTCACAGCAAATTGTAAATTCAGGACTGTGGCTTTCTTCCTAGAGTCCCTTGAGTCAGTCCGTCACCTAATTACTCTTCCCCTTTTCCTTCCCCCGATGGAAGGAACTTTCCTTACCATGATGGTTTCTCTACTGAGTTGCCTTCTCAATGTGTCCAAAGTACAGTGGCTTTAGTTTTTTCAATAAGGCTTGAGTGGTACGAAAATAAGGCAACTACTGCAAAACAAGGACAACACAGAAGAAGGATAACCACACCAGTTTTGCACTAAAAGGTCATTTAGCTCTTCAGGGACCAACAAGAAATTTTGTAGTGAGAACAAGGAAAAACCGAAACTGCATCTCACATTAGTGCCACTCCTAAATGATGCCTATAAGTACTTCAGGGTTTTTATATTACTCTCGAATGTTATCTTGGTTCACCGCAATTCTCATAAAGACAACGGAATCCATGTGTGTTTCTGCAACCTGATGACGTTGTATCGCAATCCGATTCAATTTTTGTACTTGCAGTTCCTGCCTGTATACGTTCCTTCTGATGAGGAAAGGAAGAACCCATCTTTGTATGCGAGGAACGTGAGACATGTGATGGCAAAGTAAGTGAGATGGGCTTTCAGGAAGCGGTGCAGTCACAGATAGCATCTAGGTGTTTTCTAAATGTGGAGGTCGTCAGCTCGTGATGACGGTGCCATCGCGACCTGCAGGCGCCCTTTCCCCGTGACTTCATGTAGTCGTTCAACAAGGCTGGGGCCAATACTGGTCTTCGTGGAACCCCACAGCTCAGTTATTGGGACAGCATCCCCAGGACTTCTGCTTTTGAATGGACAAGAGGACTGGAAACTCGAGAACTGGATCAGATATGTTGCAGTTGTAACATCTTCACTGTAGATCTTCATCTTCATTTTAGCTGTAATAAGAAATAGGATGGGACCCCGATCTCCTAGATCCAAGTCCTGCACTGCAGCCACCTGGCTGTACCTCCTCTTTGCCTTCTCCACCCCCATTTTCCAGTGCACAGAGGCACGTAACTGTTCTGATAAAGGATGTTCTTCCTTTGAAATACCGTAGAATTGTGCCTTTGCACGAGACGATGAAGCGTATTGTACTGATAGTAATTCCTGCTTCCTTCCTGCAAGGGCGTTGGGCGTCTCAGTGACAGACTATACTTTTGAAGACTGCCAACTGGCTCTAGCGGAAGGACAACTCCGCCTGCCTTCAAACACCTGTCTCTTAGAATTTGCAAAACTTGTAAGAAGTCTTGGGTGAGTATGTTTATCAGAGTGCAAAAGTTATCACCAAATGCTTGAAAAGCTTGTGACTTCATAGCACCAAATTAAAAAGGGAAGAAGAATGTAACACCGATGGTGAAAAATGGCCCCTCTTTTAGGGGGATGTTCTGGAGCATGATAAATTAATGGAGCCGAACCAAAATGCTTTCAAAAACTACACAAGTTCTGTCAATGTTGTCTAAGGTGAAAATATAAAAAGCATGTTGCCACTTATTTCAGCTAAGTACTCCCACTTTCCGTTGGTTGGGGTTCTTCTAAGAAAGCCAAAATTTGTCTTCTAGGGGAAATTATCACCTTTCAACTTTTGGTATAGAGAGAAAGGAAAATCAGCCTTACTTTCTTCACATTATATGTGAGGAAAAATAGTTATTCCAGTCACAGATTCAGTGTTGCTTAATTCCACAAATCATCTTTAAAGTGTAGGGTATCTTGTTTCTACAACTGCAAGAACTTGTGTGTGTTGGAACCGAACATTTTGTTGGTAACATTTTGGTTGTTATATTGAATTAATTTTCCAAAAGGGAACATTCTGTTTTCCTGATAGCCAATTGTGCATTCGGTCGAATCCCATGTTTTTCAGACCATTTCAGTCTGTATGTGCTGGGGAGGACGCAGAACATTTGAAGGCATGTTCCTATCGGGGTGAATGTTCTAGTCTTATCTCTTACTAGTCTGAGAGAGGAAAAGCAAGGAAATGACACACTGCCCATTTTGAAATCCGAGCGGTGCATGAACCTGGCCTTGAGCTCGTGCACAGAATAGTCGAGAGCTTATTCCCCAAAAGGATCGCTTACAAAAAGTAATGCGAGTGTTTGCCTTTTCCGCTCCATTTTTAGATTAAAGCCAGAGAGGCTTGAAAAAGAAATCGATGCATATTCAAGCAGCGCTAAGAGAAAGAAAGGCAAAAAGGTCAACGTCAGGGAGTTTGCTGAATTCTTGGAAGTCCCCGTCTCTGACACATTAGAAAGTATGTTTGCACTTTTTGATGAGGTAAGAAATGCAACAATTGTGACCTTTCCTTTAAAAAAACTGTTTTCATTCTTTGAATTAAACACTAGCCCAGAGGTCGGCAACCTTTAACACTCAAAGAGCCATTTGGACCCGTTTCCCGCACAAAAGAAAACCCCGGGAGCCGCAAAACCCTTTTGACATCTAAAATGAAGATAACACTGCATATATCGTTTTTTACCTTTCTGCTATGTATATCTTCATTATGATTTAGCTGCAGCTCTTGTTCAGTCAGTTAAAAACTGTTATTTTTAATCTTACAGTATAAACTAGTAGGACTCCTTTCATATATTTTGAATAGGAAAACAGCTTCCTGAAGAGTCAAAGTCAGTGCTAAAGGGCTGCATGCATTAAACAGCAAACCCCATAAGCTTGTCAGCAGTAAATCTACCCAAGTATCATTAAAAGTTTGGTTATCTTCAGAAACTTTTCTTCAATTTATCCAAGCGCCGGGCCGCTGTGCCGGCACGGGCCTCGGATCGGCAGCAGCCACCACCGCGCCGGGATCGGCAGCGGCTGTGACATGAGTGACGGAGCCACAGCAGAGGCATCCAAGGGGTTGCCGACCCCTGCACTAGACCATTTTCTAAAGCAATACTAAGAATGCAGTTTAAAGTTCTATGATTTCTGTAGCGTTGATGTAGAAATCACTTGTTTATGCTACGGACCAGAAACATGACTGCAGACTGCAAGAATCCTTGTTCAGAAATGTTTTCATGGCTCTGTGACCCTGGTGTGGCCTTAAATAATGCCTCTTATGGGTTACTAATTATCATTACACCACAGAAACACAGCTTGTCTGCTGTGGAAAACGGGTACAAGCAACTGAAGTCCATTTGCACCCAACTAACGTGGAACAGCATCCATACAAAAGGAACAAGTTCACTTCTCTTCCACTGTCCTCCAGTCTGAGCCTGAAATTTGTTCTAGAAATTTCCAGAGCAGAGTTTTGGGGTTTTGTTGCACAAACAGAGTCCTGTTTGCACAGCGTTGGGCCTTCCCTGACCGATGGCATTTCCATTCATTTCTTTTTTTAAGTCAAACTGCATCTCTCTGTCTGTGTCTACATACATGCAGGAGACACAGTGGGCCAGTTTGTGCAACACAACTACACACTACGGGTTAAACAAGCGTGCCGGTTGCCAGTATACATATCACAGGCCTGTCCAGGGTTTCTCATGGCCATGTTCCCATCGGAACAACACAGCAGGGGTTGTGTGAGAGTTAAATCACCTTCACAGAAATTAAAAACAGATGGTATTAATTAACCCATAGCAGGCTGCTTTGTGCTGCAAACCAGGTCGGTGCCTGTGAGTGCGATATCAGAAAGAAGGTACTAAACTAGCAAGTTAATACTTTGCACGAGTCAAATACTGTCCTGTGCTCCCAAGTCCCCATTGTGTGAAACAGCTGGGACCGAGGTAAGATTTTCAAGCAGTTGAACATGTCATCAGCAAAAACCGATACCGGTCCACTTAGTTTTCGCCGTGACCTTCGAATGCCAGCAGAAACCTTCCTATGCACGAATCTTCCTTTTCCAGCGGGTACCTCCCGTGAAACTGGCAGTACGGTTTTACTTCTTTCCCTTCACAGAAGGAAGAGGGTCTGATTGACTTACGAGAATACGTGACCGCTTTCTCAGTCGTGTGCAGGCCATCCCAGACTTTGCAAACAATACAGCTGGCATTTCAGGCAAGTACCAGCTTTTACTTAAGTTTTATTAACACCTATTTAAAAACAATACTGCATTTGCAAAGAGGGTCAGATGTATTCCTAATCAGATGACACAGCTTCCTCCTCTCTCGGGCCATTAATTTGAAGTTGTGTCTGACTTGGGAGCTGCCCGAAGATGCACACTCATGAATAGGCATGCTCGCCTTCATGTTATTTTCATATCAGCAACAGCACCGAGAACCGGGCTGCTACAGAAACTGCTGTTTTGCAAGTGAATGGGGAAGTAAGGACCAGTTCACTGGAGTAACAAGAGGGGACTTGGTTTTGTGAACAAGGCAATGCCAAGGCACTGCTGCGTGGCAGTTGTATTTCATTTCACTGATACTTTATTCTGGGAGTAACAGCGGCCAAACAGTTATCAAAATGAAAGAATCAAGCTCATGGTAACTCAGACACAACATTCTCCAGTGACGTTGGTTCACACCTTCGGCAGAGAGTAATTAAGCACTCAGGGTCGAAGGGCATCAGTGAAAGCTTTGTGTACCTCTTAAAAATTTAGATGTACAGGGATCAGAGTATCGGCAGAACTACTTCTGTCTGGATCCTAAAATGGGGGGAGGCTTATTTGTTTCGGTTAGATGCTCTCTCCATGCAGTCAAGTTTATTTCATTTATTGGAAAATATTCATAACCTGTCATCAGAACCCCAAATTCCCTGAGAATAATATAAAACACATCACTGGTGTTAAAGTGTCACAGCAAAACAGCCCAATCCCAAAAGGATGAAAAAAGAGGCAATAAAGCAAGCACTCAAGGGCATATTAAATTAGCAGCATCATACGCTCCCTACTCGCTTAGTTTTGGCACGCAACCTGAGGAGCGTTTCATCAGATTATAACCCCTTGGAATTTAGGTAACCAGTGGAAACTTCTGCCGCTGGTGCTGCTAAGTAAGTCTTTCTCAGCACTCGTCGGGAGATGGCTGTATTAACTCGCAATGTGATACATCTTTGTATTGCTATGCAGTGTTGTGCGGGTTCTTGTTTTTCATTTCCTTGACCATGCCTGGCAGCAGAAAGACAAATTATAAGTTGTATCAATACATCACTACTTCACCATCAAAAGGTATGGGGTGATCCGCAGACACTTTAAATTCTATAAGGAAAAGAAATGTGATTTAAGCGTCAGAACCGCCTCTGTCAGTTTTTTGTTTTATTATGGGGAAAACTTGATACTGGTTCTTGGAACAGGAGAGGCTGTGTGCCATGGGAAGGCTAAGACAGAAACCACAAAAATGTTTGCTTAAGTCCTATACTTTGTAGTAAAGCTAGTTTCACTTTCGTGCTTTGCTGGAACAGGAGATCCTATGCCTACATATTTGTTTACAGATGTATCAGTCGGAATCTGGCACTCTAACAGAAGAAGATTTAGCTTGCATTCTAAAGACCGCCATGGGTGTTTCAGATCTTAACGTCTCGAACCTTTTCAGAGCTATAGATGACAAGGAAAGAGGAAGAATTTCCTATGGTAAGACTGTGTAATGATTCTGAAAATCCATAGAGAAAGAACTTGGGGATCAGGCAGATGCAGAGAATCTGGACTTCCTGGGACTCTGTAGTTCATGCTGCGTGTTCTTAGCCATTGGCTTCATTCACCCATCACACCAACCCACGGCGGCAAGACGCCACCATGGGTTATTGTTCTGTGAATCTGGTGTGTCCAACAGGCGATCCGCTTCACTGCAGGTTGTTGGCAGCCTCCCTCCCTTCGCCGCCCCTCAGGCCTCTCACAGCCGCAACTGCGAGAACTTTTAGCTTGCCACAGCCGTGTGTTCCAGTGGGGCAGGTTGTAGGATTGTGATCTGTTCTTTGACGGTCATTTCTGCCCCCTGCTTTTTGACAGCCAGCGACAGCCTCTTCCAAGTGCCCCAGCGGCATATTGAAAGGGCTGTCAGCGCTTGGTGAACTTTTTTTTAAAAATGGACTCGTAACATGCACAGGTATTGCAGTTGTTTTTAATTGCCATTGTTTTAGCCACACCTGCACAACAGCGGCTGTGTGCATTACTCTGACACCAGAAATGGGGAGCCGTGCTTGGACAAGGTCAAAGGGCAGCCAGTGGCAACCCAGGTTATGGATCCAAAGAGCTTTCCAGTAGGATTTGGCTCCTCTTGAGAGCTGCCAGAAGGTCGGCCGTCAAGGGAACACCAAGGTGCAAGGGATCTGTGTAGACTCTGGTGGTTCAAAAACGTGCTAAACACCTCCCACCCCTTTTCAAGGGAGCATCGCGAAACCTAAAGCGAATGGAGAGCCTTATGTCGCAAAATGGTCCCATCCCTACCCAAAAGTGAGTGGTTTCATCCAGCCTTGGAAAACACCAAGCTCTGCAAAAGTTTAAAGAAATCCTAAAAGGGACTGGGGGGGATCCAGAAGGTCCCATTGTGGAATGAACATGCTTGATAACAAAATAAAGGGGGAAATGCTGTGGAATTGGCTGATGAAGTGAAAGGAACGGCCGGGATAGCTTTTGAGACTTCGGGACTGCTGATCAGCTGAAAGGCAGCGCTAGCCGAGAGAAAAAGCAAGGGGGGCGGAGGAGGTGGGGACGCGACCCAGAGTTTCTCTTATTTCAGTGTCTGCTGCAACAGGCAGGGCCAAAAGTACACTGGATGCACATCTTTTTGGAAAAAATCCTGGAAGATTGAAACAGATGGGGAAAGAATGCAGCTTTTTTCAAAACAACATAGCTCTCTGAGACAGTGACCTGAGAGTGTGGCCTGGGGGGCTGTGGAATTCCCAGCTCCAAGACTGGAGACAGAGGTCGAACTCCAGCCTTCCTCCACTCCCACCCAGTCAAGTGTGGAAGCACCTGCTGCCCCCCAAGAGTATTGATTGATTGATTGATTTATATCCTGCCTTTTTCCTACAAAGGGCTCAAGGCAGCTTGCATCATTCTCCTCCTCCATCTTATCCCCACAACAACAGCAACCCTGTGAGGTAGGTTGGGCTGAGAGTCTGTGACTGGCCCAAAGTCCCCCAGCTGGCTCCATGGCTCAGCGGGGACTCGAACCCAGATCGCCTGAGTCCCAGTCCCATGCTCTTAACCACTACACCACACTGTCTCTCCAGTGTGGTGTAGGAAAGATTAGGAAAGCAACCTTAAAGGGGGCCTTCAGTTTTGTCTTTTCTTGCCTCCAGTTGCTTTGAATAAAATTAATGGGATGCTTGGGAAGATCAAAGGCAGGAGGAGAGGGAGGCCAACAGTGAGGTGGAGCGAATCCATATAGGACTCCGGAGTTCACGAGAGCTGAGCAGGGTTGCCAAGACGGGACAGTTGGAGCACATCCACTCACCATAAGTCAGAGACTGCTTGAAAGCACATCACAACCACAAACCAGTGATGACTAAAGGTCCATTGATTTCATTGGGTCTTCTGTAAGCACGCCTCAGCCCGACTCCGGCCCATCCTACACAGCCAGTTCATCGTTCAGGAGACTTATGCAACTGTACCCAAAACAGGAAACTGCAAATACCCTTCAGACATAAATGTTCTTTTATCCGTCCCTAGATGATCTCCACAGATTCGCTGAAGCACATCCAGACTTTGCTGAGGAGTATTTGTATCCTGACCAAATGGAAACTCTCGCTCCCAACGGCTTCTGTACAGACTTCAGTCCAGAAATCAGTGAAGACAGGAACAATTGCCTACAGAAGAAGCTGGACTAATAGCAACCATTCTGCCGTCCCCTGGTGAGGAAGGAATGTCCTGACATGGCCTCTGGGTGACCACAGAGCTATAAAACCGGAAAGGTGTGAGGGCTGTGAGAGGAGTCGTGTGTTGGCGCGTGTGTAGACCTGAGAGAAAGAGTGTGTGAGAAGATCTCGCTGCATGAATGACCATCTCCAGGCTTCGTTCTGGGAAAGCCTTGTTTTCCCATCAGCCTCTTGGAAAATTTCGAATGTGAATGAACTTTCTTTTGTGTACTTATAAAGAAGATGCTTGCCTATTTATATCCCATTGTTTAGTTTCATGTACAAAGGTGTCCTACAAGTGTGCATGTGTAAAAAAAAATACTGTAGCTCCTTATGGTGTCAAGTGGACTTTTAGTGTTATCCCGATTTAGGGAATTTTTGAGGGATTAAGTTCTGATTTCCTTTTGCACAGGAAGATGGGTCTGTTCAGTACTGGCCCTTGTCCTCAGTGTTCTGAGCAAAACATGCTCAATTTGGCCCTCTTGTTTCCACTTCAGTGAATAGATAATGAAAAATATGCAAAAAACCCCATTTAAACTAAGAAATGGTTTTGCTTATTTTTCCTTGCAACGTTACCTTTTTGTCTTTCAGTCTATGGTAACATCAAAAAAGGGAAGGAGAATTATTCTTCCCAAGATTGTGTGCATTCTGTAAGCCAAATTCTATAATTAGGAAAAGTTGGATTCGAAAGTCTGTTTAAACCATACAAACTCGTACACAAAAGCTCCACATTCTGCATAGTCCCGCTTTTGTTGAACATGGACAAGGGCAAAACAAACCAACCAAGCCACTCTGCACCTGAAAACTGGTCACTTGGATTGCTATCCCCTGTCCCCAAAATAGCCCCTTGGATTTTATTGCCCATGTGCTTTTGAGCTTACCTTCACCATCTTATCATGGAGAAATAGGCATTTTTAAAAACGAAGGTTCACTTTCTCAGGATGATGAATTGTGTGCTAAAATCTAACTCGTGAACTCAAAGATCCCAGAAAGCACACAGCCTTGGATATTCCCTGGTCTTTTCTGTTATACTTCAAGTTGGAGAGGATTATTGAACAAGACGTATTTTAAAACCAGCCTCAGCAGAGATGGCTTTTTTGCACAGAAGTAGACTGAGCAGGCATAAAATAAACGTTTGCTAACATCCGCACTCCCTCCAAACAGCCCCAAAGGTCCCAGGTTGTAGCAGTACGGACTTTCAGAAAGAACTCCCAACCATCTCCAGCCGTTCTCCGCCACCCTCTGCGTTGGTCACTGCTTTTCACTGCAAGACACTGGTCGGGTTCGCACAGATCGCTAAGCCAGGATTTGGCATTCAGTGTGCTTGTTCCAGTGAACCCAAGCAGAGCCTCTGGGCTTGCACACCTCTCCCACTGTCCAATATGACCTCGCATTTTACTCTGGAAATTGCACTGTGTCATCAAATGGCTATTCTGCCTTTCCTCAGTGCTTTTGGTCACTCACAAAATCCAGGGTTTGTTTCTGAAAGGAGCAACACAGGAGCGTAGATTTCCTCCTCGTGTCCTCAAAGCCACTCTTCATTTTTCAGAAATGTCATTGTGAAAATTCCAGCGATATTTCAGGATGCTGAGCCCTCAGGGCACACCTCTTAATTTCATCACAACTTTCCAGTAGACGCCACTTAAGAGTAGAGTTTATAAAACTTTTTTTTTTTTATTGTGCTAGCATAAAGAAGAATTTTAGTAGAAATTTATGACAGACTTAAGGTGCAACCCTATACAAGCTTGGGCAGAAAAAGGCCTACTGCTCTTTGGGCTTTTTTCTGTCCAAATTTGCATAGGATGGCACTCTTAAGCCATTAATGCACTGTTAAAAGGTGTGTGTTTACATGCACGGTTACACCTAGAGTTATCTCTATGTCTGTGTTAATGCCTACAAATAGGAGTAGGAGTAAAATGGACATACCAAACCAGCTGTACTCCCACTCAAGTGTGGAAAGTTTATGGCAAAAGCTTACAGGGGAAGAGTGATTTAGGATACTTCCAAATTAAGTTTCTACTGTTCTGCCTCCTTCACAAAATCTTATTGCATGAGGATGGGGTTCAGAGATCATCTCTAATTTCTAACCCTCCCAGGTTTTCCCATCACAGCTTCCATCTTTTTTTCCCTTACTAGGAAATGATTTATGGAAAAAAAGACAGCATAGCTGTAACCCTTTTAACTGGGAGCACCAGGAATTCTCCTTCGGCAATCCCCTTCACCCCCTCCTCTGCCTGTGTGTCTTCCATTTCTTTTAGACCCTGTGATTCCCCTTGGGGCCATTCTCCTCTAGTGGTTCCAAAGCAGACACTCTCCCGGGGGTGACTACCCCTAATGCGTGTCTCACCTCAAAGCTCAGTACCATGAGGACTAGAAACATTCTTTTCTTATTGTTTTTATGATGAACTTCAACTGAAAGATAGATCAGGCCGCTGGTTTATTTACATGCCTGCTCTGAGCAGAAACTAACGGTGGAACCCAATTAGCTCTACACCCCCCATTAGTTAGTCTTTGCTGACAACACATTTCCGGCTTCCCACGTCCGCTTGGATCCCCTCATATCTGCTTTGGAGCAGTTTTTGGGAAGTTTTGAAGGAGGGGAGAAGGGAAGAGAGTTATTTTCACACCACCCTGCTTGTAGGAATTGGCTTCCACTCTAAGATATCCTGTACATTGCATGCTTTCTCTCTCTCTGTAAAGGCTCCCCCGAAACATGCATTCGTGCACGTAGTCCTGTTGAAGTAGGTGGGGTGATGGTATTCACAACTGGGACCAAAGAACCAAGAACATTTTTTGTTAAAAAGTGTTGTTATGATCACTACAGTCCTTCTACTGTCAGTGGGAGCAGCTTTTTATACATTTCAACTTGTTTGTGGGATAATGACTATATTATAGAGTCCTACTTTATCACAGCATTTTTATACCTCTCATGATCATTTAAAATAATTTTATTGTAGGGTTTTTCCATAGCTTCCGAAAGCATATAGGCTTTTATATACAATAACAGGATTGGAACTGTTGTGCTATCAAATTCACTGGTTTGCTGTTGATTCTGTTTTGAAGAATTGCCGCGTCTCTTCGGTATTTAGGTTTTGCAAGGCATGTGGAGAAATAAGTGCCGTAAAAAAAGAAAACAAAAATTTGAAAACAAACAAACAACACACGTACCCCAGAAATCCCCTGTAATGCTCATCATGGGATTCTCACAGGTGAATTCCATGCAAAATCCCAATTGTGTAAAGTATCTCATCTTTTAAAATCATTTGGCCAAGATGGGATTAGAAAACGGCAGGGGAAGGCCGTTCCAAGGAAGCTTCCTCGCTCCGGCATAATGCTTATCCTCCCACCTGACCCAATTTGCCAAATTTAGACATACAGTAAGCTTCAAGATCGCAAGGATAACAATTTGCATAGATTAATCCTAGCATGAGTGCAGCTAATGCGAACTGATGCTATTTAGACGTGTGGTTCCTCACCCCACTGCAGGCACATAAAACTCAGTGGGCGGTTTTAGTCACAGGAAAGTTGCTGAGCCTAAAGCAGAAGGCTGCCCCTTCCATTTCTGGTTTTGGCGCCAACCGTCACAACCGTGGAGAGCATCACTTATTCCCAATCCTGTATCCAAGAGCGAATTCATTTGCGAACCTCTGGTCTGTATATATCCAAAAGGGCACCCATCCATGCACACGGGGGAATCCACAGGTCCTGGACTGAAGCACAGGGCGAGTGGGGACAGAAAACCAGAGGGGAGCAATGGTGTGTCTTGCAACTGGACGTGTGTGGCTGGCCCTTTGGATTGGACCCCTTGACCCCACAGCGTTCTGTTGCAGGGCCCACTAACACTTGAATTTGGCAAAGCTGCTACTGGTGCTTCTTCTCCCAAGGAACCGTGTTGAGAACCACTCCCTCTATAAAAGGCTCTACAGTGAAATGAGAAAGACCTCCATCTTCTGCTTCGGAGTCCATTGTCCCCATCTCCTGGTTCATTTGCCGTGTTAGCCTGGTGGGGCTAGGCGAATCCTTAATTTCTAAAAACCGTTAATGAGTCAGAAGGGTCCAGCAGAAGGTGTTGTGTGGGAGAGCTTTGAGAAAGGAACCCCCAGTAAAGAGGCATATGAGGTTGAGCTAAACATTCAGTGGATTTCTTTTAGAGACTCGAGAGAGGCAGGTTATAGTAGGAAAAGTAACTGGACAGAGCAGGGCCATGAAGGAAACATGCGAGATGGGAACTTACTCTGGTTTCTTTGCTTCCTCAGTGACCCTTAGGGGGAAAAGGGCCACCTTCAGCCAGTCAGGGCTACATCCTCTTTCGCCTGCCCTCCAATTGCTATGAAAGAAGACAGGGTCTCCCTTCCGGCAAATGTTTTCAAAGGCCAGTCATCCAAGCCTACCCGATCACTTTGATACAGTAATTAACCACTTCTCTTTTCATTTCTCCAGCTTTCCTGCTGGTTTGCTTCCATTCTTCAGTAATCCAGTGGTTATGGTGTTGCACTTTAAAAACGAACGCATCAAGGTTTAAGCTTGCCTGTGAGCCACACAGTTCTGACCGAAAAGGCCTGTGAGCATCATCACTAGCGGGAGACATTCTTCTGATTACCTCTTTTATTATGCCTGAGTTTTAGAAACAGCTTTGAAGACTCGCTGCCTGATACACTTTGGCTCAGTTTGATAAATTTGGCTCGAAATACTTCATGCCGAGTCTCATAGTTGTATAAGAAGGCTTGGTTCTCAGGGCACATTGAGTATCTGTCTCCTTACATCTGTCTCACTATATGGCTCCACCCATCCATCACATGTTTATTTCTGGAATCCGTCTGCTGACTAGGGATGATTCCTCTATGTCTCCTGCAGTTAACCTAGCCTTGCAGACAGAGCTGGAAAGTTAGTAGCCCACAGAATTGCTCGTCACATAAACCTGTGCTAGTCATCCATGGACTAAAAATAAACATTTTAGTTTCTTTCTTTCCTGAAATTAACTCTTTAACAACTATTGACATGATGGGGCTATGAAAAACTCTGCCCCCTCATCTCTTGGATTTCAGTGTCTCTGGAAACTTGCAAATGACCGTGAGCAGCAAATGCTGGTAGTCTTGTCCTGGTTGCTCTGTACTGTGAATTAAACCTTAACCGGACTCTCAGAATGACAGAATTTAAGAACAGAGCATAGTACGGCCCTTAGAACCAAATCCCTTTGGTTTGTTGGCTTTAAAACCAAACCTTTTACCTTGGATTAGGTAATCATAATGGGCAGAGTTCTGTCCTGTTTGAAGAGCTGGCATTGTTCAAGAAGGTACTTGTTCACCAGGAGATGGCACTTGTACATTATAATCCCACCACTGGGGCACCCTTCATGGCTACCACTGGCCGCGATGGCCAGCTCCAGAAGAAAAGGAGATCTGCATTTGCAGCATCCAGAAGCGAGCTGTGAGATTTGGCCACCAAGTCAGTTGTTAAATTGGCCTTAGATGCTCGTAAGAATTGTTGTGGCCTTCTGTGTCACTACACAGCCCTTCCTGCATACGGAAGACTTTGGCAGTAAGTTAAAGCTTGGATATCTCTAAAGAGTTTGCATTCTCAAGAAAATCAAGCTAACAGCTAACACACACATAAGCTCCCAAAGCTACCTTCCTTTCTCAGAGTAATTTCTCTTTAGTTTTATTACATCCGTTACTAACGCCAATGCTTCTAGGGCCTGCCATTCCTTCAAGGGAGAGCTCTGACATCAAAACAAAGACCTGTCCAGGATGGCATAACATTCTGAGAAGTTTCTTGAGAGACAAAATAATCACAGGTCTTCTGACAAAGAGACAAATTACTGAAATGATGTTTGTATTTGGTCTGAAACAGCTTGGTGTTTCTATATAGTGATACAAAAGGTATCAGAGATACCGTTATAATAAGGTATAATAGCACATCTTACTGTTATTTCATGAAACTGCATTACTTTACATCACAAAATATACATCAGAATTGATTTCAGATTCCAGTATGTGTTTCTTCCCTCTTCAAGCCTTTCGGCTAAGAACATTAGCAAAACAATTGAAGTAAACAAGAGGAAGAAAGATGATCTTGCCAGACAGAAGGATGGACAGGGCAATTCTAGGCCCCTAAACAGCATCGGAGGGGCTACAGGATATTATGAATTCCCCAGTCTGAAGTTGGAGACCGCGCTCCACTCTTGGCATGGGGAATCAGAGTTTTTATCTCCCGCCCCTTGCAACCGGCATAAAAGGAAGCACACCGTCTGTGTCTGTGGTCAGGAAAATGGAGTGTTTTGGCAGGTAGGCATGTGAGAAGACTCAAGAAGCCTTTCCAGGCTCATTCCCTCGTCCTCCAAAATACTCCACCAAAATGGGCAAAAAAGCCTGTCTGGCCAAAAATGGAGATTGTGTCTGCTGCTCTTCCCACTCTGCAAAGGGAAACCTCCAAGATCCGCAGCTCATATCCCTTAAAATAGGAATGCGCTCTAAATCTTTCAGTGCTCCTGTCTTCCTGCTGCTTCTTTTGATGCCTTCTGTTTAAGACTGCGAGCATCCAGATAAAGTGCCGCCGTGGCAGTTCACAGCAGCAAATGTTACAATCTCAGGGTACGATGGCCTAATCCTAAAAGTCCAACGCCAGGCTAGGATGACGTTCAGAATATGAACTGGACTTGGGCTATTTGATTTTGGGGCTGAACTGTCCATTGTTGGCATTGGTTTCTCTGATATTTTCTCGTCCTTGCCATACACATTGCAGAGAATGAATTCAAAGTCAACTCTTCGGGAAATGAAGACATCGGCTCTCCCCTTTTTATGACAAACAAAGCAAGTTAAAAACTCAAAGGAAAGTCTTATAGCACCCTGTCCATACGCTACAAATCTTTCATTTATCACTTTGTTTACATTTCTTCTTGCACTTGTCGACATCGGAAGTTACTTTCTCTTCAGGGACCTACGGTCTTGATGTGCATTATTACTTCTGCTGCCCGAATTACCATTCGTACTTGATCTTGCCATGCGAGCCATCGTCTCCATGAGAAACGATAACATAACATGTCATATTAATTCACACTCCCATGGGACCGCTCATGCAACCCTCCCAACAGATCCTCTTGAAAATACTTTGCAAGATAGAATATTTCCAAGGAAATACTATGGTACGTGCGTCAAGGGTTTTGCTAACTAAGCCCTCCTTCCCACCACACTGCAGAAACGGAGGCATTTTAACACGGCATTCCCAGAGTTTCTCAACACTGTTACAGCTAACACAGTAATGTTCCAGGGGGCTGAGGGCCAGGTCTCTAATCATCCACTCCTGAGCAAAACTGTGACTATCACTAGTGCTTTTGATGTCAACAGGATACAATGACTTCTGGACTCTCTCGAATATTTGACTCTAACGCCCCACTGGAGCAAGAGGCCCAAGAGTGAGTTAATCCTGGAACCCACCATTACAGTTTGTAAGGCAGATGTAGGAACGGTTCTCTGGAAATCGCTTTCCCATACTTAAGTTTTTTATTCCACACCTTGCAGCTAGCTCCTTTGTAGTAGGCATGTATTTTCAATGTTACTGTTGCTGGAAATAAAATATGGGGCTAATATTTTCTTTGTTTCTAAGCACATAAAAGTTCAGGAAGTCAAGTCTTCTTTAGAGCTGGCCAGAATCCAATTCACCGCTAATTTGTTCCTTATACATTCAGTGGGGCTTTGGACTTGTTTTTAAAATGGTGGTGTTTGCCTACCCCATGCTATCATGCAAATTTTCTTTCAAAATTTAGAAGTGTTTGAGAATTATGCACAAGTTTCCTCTTGTGCATAACGAGGAAAAATAAATTTTATAGGAAATGCTTCTGTCCTGGAATGCATTTAAAATAGCTCTTTGGAACCCAGCCCTTATTTCCTATTTCTAAATGCAACTAAGATAGAAAAAAGACCAAAATTTTCCTGCTGACAATATTCCAGAATCAGAAGATATCCGGATTTACAAGTTATTTAAAGTCTTTAACTTGTAAAAGGGAACCAAAATGCTTATTTTAACACATATCAAATCTGTGAAATAACTATTCCTGAAGATAAAATAACTAAAGTAACTAAAAATCTTGAATGCTTTTTAATGTCTCTATTTTTCCACATATCTTGCCTCATACTGTGAAAATCAATCTGGATACTTCTTAGAGAGCAGTTGTATAATAACCCAGCAATATGCTTAATTTTCCTAATACAAAAAAAAGGAAAACAAAATATTCTTACAGAGCTGGGATTTCACAAGCAAGCAGATTGTAGTAGTTAGTGAAATGTTTTTGTGTTCTGTTTACATTAAGAGTACCTTTTTCTATGGTTACCTTTAGGGGAGTAAAGGCCTCTTAAAGTGATAATTGTTATACATTAGAACTTTAATATCCGAGTAACTCTTCTTAAACAAGTTCTGAAGTTTATAGTTTAAGGATCAAGGAACATGTGTGGTCTTCACATCTTCTAGCTTTGTATGAAGTACTTTATAATTTGTAAAGTTACAGCGGTTTACTGAAACTTCCTCCAAGATTGCTGCAGGACTGTTTTCTATATCTTTTTCTAACTGTTGATAGCTCCAAAAGCATTATAGGCAGATGTTTATTTTCAAGGGGGCAGCAAAACATTGGACCATTAATTTAAAATATTCTATGCCTTTAAAATTATGACAAGAAGATCAAAATTGCGGCTTCTTTATATATATTGTCTAGCATTACTACATTTCTAGGCTTTTAAAAATAAATTTGACGTGAAATCACTGCTCTTTGACTTAAACAGTCACTTTAGAGACTGCTTTGCTACGACTGAACCCAATGAGAATCACTGCCTAAAGACAGAATATTTCTGCAAGCCTTTGCCCACTTACCTAGGGGTAAGCCCCATTGAACTCAATGAAACTTACCTCTGAGTAATATATAGGATCATGCTATAAATCTCTGCTTGGACCAATAGCCTTGCGGATACGACAATACTTCTTTCCTCACTGTGCCACCCAAGGAGGGAATTAACGGGTCAGACTTTACCCGTGCTAAACATTCCATGACAATCAGTGCTCCTGAATCAAGTCCTTCTGTAAAGAGGAAAAAAACTTGGGACAGTTTTTCAATGCTGTATCTTTGCATTCTGTTACACATGATATATTGTACTGATTAAGCTTAAGGATTCTGGAATCACCGTTTCTGATTTTCCACAGGGTTTCTCTTGTGTAAATGTACATAGGTTTTTGTTTTGTTGTTGTTTTTTCATTATAAAAGAACTAATGTTAACTATAATCCAAGCAGGTGCATCCATCAGGTAGAACATGGACCTGAAGCTGAGCCCCGGACATGCTACACAGGCAAATAAGTATATTGGATGCTCTGATAGCATGTTGGCATTCTACTCCCCTTCCAAAAGTGCTGGTTATAGTTCAGTGCTATTTCATTGTCTTTACTGAAATAATCTTTCAAAGAATGTTACCTTTTTGTACATCGTCTCAAGTTTATACAGTCTGACTGTATCTGGTATCAGTACTATCCACTAATTTCCTAATGGAAATACCTCACTTTGAGCAATCTCTTTTGTAATTGTCAGGTGAGTGAAATTCTTGTCTGTTACTGATTGTAAAGTGCTATGAACTGAACCAAGCCAAGGAACAAAAGAACAATCGGATTTATGGTTTACCATTACAAGACATGCTGATTTCCTTAAAATAAATCTGGTGTTTGTTTATAAAAATTATTAAAGTGTTTGCTCTTGTGATTTTAATTATGTACTATGGAATCACTGCTCATTTTGCCCGGTTGGGTGTATTTTAATTTGACTGGCTTACTGTAAACTGTATTTTCAGTGAGGAAGGAAATGAAGAGAAGCACGTGTAAGGGCAAGGGCTTTAGCTTTTCATTAAAACACACACACTGTGACATTGGCGTCTTGAAAAAGACCTGTGACAATATAGATAGATTCTAATCCTTTGAGCCGTTAATGATAGAAGGAGCAAAGGACTTTTAACAACACCTTGAAAGGCAGTGTTTATGACCTCCGTTAACACAGTTTGTTGACCGGTGTTCTTTATTTTTATTTATTGATTTAAAACTTTTGTATACTGTCCCATCACTGACATCTCGGGACGGTTCACAATAACAGCAATGAAATAAGAGAAAGAAATAAAAGTAGCACAGCATCCAATAATAAATATAAAAACCACAAATTAAGACAATTAGCAATTAAAATAGTGGGAAAATAAAAAGGGTTTCACCTGGCGCTGAAAGGAAAGAAGTGTTGGTGCCAGGCGAACCTCTCTGGGGAGCGTGTTCCACAGTCAAGGTGCCACCACAGAGAAGGCCCTCCTCTTGATCTCCTTCAAGGATGGCTCCCAGAGGAGGGCCTCTGCCTCAGATCTCAAGGGGAGGGAGGGCACATAGGGGAGAAGGCACTCCTTCAGGTATCCAGGACCCAAGCTGTTTAGGGCCTTTTGTGTCATTACCAACAGCTTAAATTGGGCCCGGACTTCAATTGGTAGCCAGTGTAAGCGCTAGAGGACCGGCATTATGTGTGAATGCCTGCCAGTCCCCATTAATATCCTGGCAGCTATGGTACCATGCTATCTGATAGGCTGTCAAGATTGGGTGTGGGATGCATCGCTTGGTGTTGGCTCCACTCCTATATGGATGGCTGCTTCCAAAAGGTATTACTTCGAAATACTTGTCCTCCTTCATAGAACAAAATCTCTAAGGGTTCGATCCAATCCACATGGCCATAATTCTGCAAAAGTGGAGGGATGTGGACATCCTCCCATCCTTCAGTACACATTGCTGATTGTGGCGCATCCCAGAGCAGCAGAGGAAGTGCCAAACACCAGGCTGCCTTGGATCTTGGCAGTACCTGGCACCTGTCTCCTCCACTCGCTTCCCCCAAGCCCTCTCTTTGCTCTAAGTGCAGAAATGCGGCCAAGAGGTTAGAGCACTTTTCCAACCTCACACCTCACAGGATTTTTGAAAAAACCTGCAGCCCTCTAGATGTTTTCTCGTGGCTTTAGAGTTCTGCAGCATGCAATACAATTTATTACGCATCCCGTTGAGCATCACAAGCTGGGTTCTATTCTTTCTCTCATGCTGTTTAACATGAAAACACTGGTAAAGAATATACAAACATGTGGTCAGAAGAGACACCGTTATCTGGACAGAATCATAGAATAGTTGCTCAGTGCAGGACTCCGAGTTAAACCTTCAATGGCTATCCAGTTGCATCTTGAGTGTTGCCAGTGTGGGAGACCCCACAACCTCCCTAGGTAACTGGTTGGGTTGTTGTACCTCCCAAAAAGTCAGGAAGTTCTTCCCAATATTCAGTCAGAACCTGCTTCCTGTAACTTGAGCCCGTTATTCCGTGTCCTGCGCTCTGGGATAACTGAGGGGAGATCCTGGCCTCCCCCTTTGTGATAACCTTTCAAGTACTTGGAGAGTGCCATCATTATTTTATGTATTTATTAAAAACTTTTGTATGCCGTCCTTTATATAAATATCTCAGGACGGCTTACAACAAAGCCATCATATTTCCTCCCCTCGGTCTTCTCAAGGCTAAGCATGCCCAGCTCTTCTGATCTTTCCTCAGAGGGCCTCGTTTCCAGTCCCTGGATCATCCCTGCGGCCCTCCTCTGAACCTTTTCCAGCCTGTCTGAATCTTTCTTAAACTGGGGTGCCCAGAACTGGAGACAGGACTCCAGACGGGGCCCAAGCACTGCTGAACAGAGGTGAACCAGTCTGGAAGTGATACGTCTATAAATGCAGCCTAACACTACACCTCCCCTTTCTGCCATGGATGACACCCAGCTTCCCATCTGGAGCTGGTGTGCTTGGGCATGGGGATGAACTGATGTCGCTAAATAAACTAAAACTCAACCCAAACAGGAAGACCGTATGATTGGTTGCTTCCCACATGGGCAAATGGTTTGAAGTGCCTTTTCACAGCCACAGTTGATGGGCAAGCTGTGGCCTTACCTGGACAACTGAAGCACTTTTAGCCACGCTGCTTTTCAGACAAGCGCATTGTGTTGCGTATGGTGCAGCCTCTTAGAATTTAGAAATGGTTGTTGGTCAAAAATAGGGCTGCAGAAGGACCGAACTGGGTAACTTGATTCCATCCCACCTGGCCATTGTCAGTTTGTTTCCAAGCCTAAAGAGTTAGTTCTAATCTCTGAAGCCCCAGATCAACCTGTTTCTGGCCAATTTGTATACCTATCCTGAAACTCACAGACTTCCTCAAATCTCCCTGCTGAATGAAGCATGTGACTGCTATGAAGAGGACCTTTCGGCGGCAGCAGAACCACCTTTTCAAAGAAAGTTATCTGGCACTACCCATGTGGTCCTTTGAACACCAGGCCTTTTAAAATTAATGTAATTTTTAAACACCTGTTTTTAAAACTGTTCTTAATGTAGGGGTGTTGCAAATCCAGTTGAAATTTAGATGCAACTAATAAATAAAACACGTACAATATTCATATTATATATGAATAAATGCATATTATAAAAATATATTAATTTGTTGCATGCTTTCGTCTCCGACCTACGGGTCACCCCCTATATGATAGATGACACACGCATATCTTAGAAGACATATCCATATATTCATAAATACAAAAGACGCATCCATGCATGCATGCATGCATACATTCGTATATACATAAGATCCGTGCGTATACAGGTATGCGCGTATTCATATACGCGACTATAGCTAACGAGCTCTACGCATAAGGAAGAACGCCCGGACGTCACGCGCCTCCCGGAAGAGCGGCGACACGCCCCCCGCCCCGCCCCCGCAGAGCCGGCACGGCGCTCTCGCGAGAGGCAGCGGGGCCCCTTCCGGCCCCGGCAGGACTCCGCTTCCCAGCGTGCCGCGCAGCGGTACAGCACCCGCTTCCGCCGCGGAGAGGGGCGCCGAGCAGCGGGGCGAGCGGCGGTTCGGCGGGCGCGGCGCGGCGCCGCGGGCGGCTGGCC